AGGGGCCCCTGCATCCGTACAGGCCGGTAGCTAGGTACAATTTAGAGGGAAAGTAACAAACGTTAAAGAGTCCAGGGTTCAGGTTCCTACCCCACCTTCGTGTTGCGGCTTGGCCAGCTCCTGAAGGATTTCCTCCACAACGTCCCGTGGGTCACGACCCTCCACATCTATCCACTTATACATGGGGTCGTCCCTGGACACGTTGGATGCGGTTATCAGGTTAGGGTTATTGGGGTTATTGGGGAAGTGCTGTTGGAGGGGGGCTTATGGAGGGGGTTACATTGTGTCCGTCTGCAGCACGGCAATGTCGTACCACAGCCGCTGAAGCATACATACATGAGATGATGGCACGGTATCGTTTCCCCACCTGAACCAGGTCATCTGCGCGCGCACGAGTTTGTGAGTGGCCTGGCAGATGGCGGCGTGCAGGGCACACAGGTCCGGCAGACCCACGGGTCGGTCAGCCGCCTTGGCCGCCATCAGCCACTCCATGGCTTGCCGGTACCCTGCACAGGGGAGAGGGGTCGGGGAGTTCCGGAAAGGAAATGACCGACAAGCCCCGTGTACGACTCGGAGTGTGGGGCCCCTGCCTGGAGCTGTTTGCGGGCCCGGGGAAAGGAAGGGGAAAGAATCTGCCGATAATTACATGACCATGTACACATCATTACAATCACAGCCTTGCAAGCATTAACTATTTGTGCTGGTAATTCAACATGTGAGCTAGGAGGCTTTGCTCTATCGCTTGGGTGATTGTGAACCAGGATAACTGCTCCCGCCTCGTGTACCAAAATTCTTTTTTGGACGAAGCTAGGTGAAACACACACACACACACATATATATATATATATATACACGCACACACACATACACACACAGCCTTACCGATGGCTTTGGCCGCCATGTTTGCTCCGGGTGCCAGACCCATACGCAGCAGCATGGCCGCCTCCTCGAGCAAGCCCCCCTCCACTACCATAGCCTCCACGCGGGACGCAATCCTGTCGTACAGCTGTAGCCGAGGCCGGTGGAGAAAGAAACACCTGTGGCAGCAGTAGCGGCAGTAAATACACACACACACACACACCGGCGTGGGAGAGGGGTGCGTGGTGGCTAGCTGGCGAGCGGCTGCTCTTGTGCTCTTGTGCTCTTTATAAACATGTATAGGTTACAAGTTCCGTACACACGAGTGGGGGTGTGTCCGTAAAAGCCGGGGGAGGGGCCCATGGACGTATATAAATCATCCGCACGTGCGACACACAGGTACAACAATACATACCTACATTCATATTACATATTACACATATACATACAAACATTTACACACCGACAGACCCACACACCTGAAATCCAAATCCAGTTCCCGATCCAGAATCGCGCGGGGTTCGAAATCCGCCAACTTAGCCCCCGGGTGCATGGCGAGGATGGCCAGTGCCCTCTCCAACCGGTAGTAGTTGTTGCGCTCCGCTCGGATCCTAGCCAGAGGCGGGAGGAACCAGACCATATTATATTTCATATTATATATATTGATCAATAATATATGTTGCTGATAAACAATATGTTTATTTCGCGGGTGAGGGAAATCATCATTCCCGGGGGGGTGTCAAGGGGAGATGGAGGGAAGCCGGAAACTGTGAGTGAGATGCGACAGGACCGCTCACTGCCGCCCAGGGAGGGGGGAGGAACAAGGGGACGGAACAACGGCCAACAACCAACGGCCAAACGGAAAACCGGTGGCGTATGTGGAGAGAGAGGAAATGGAGAACGGGAGGGTGATGGTATTGCGGAAGGGTGTCAAAAGTAAGATAAACCCTGCCGTACAAGCTGCGACACTGCAGTACAGCTTTCATGGAAGCATGGTCCGGGACCATCGCACTCCCACCTGTCGTACGCCACGTCATCACCCCATTTGAGCAGCAGCGCCGCCGCTGCGTCCCATTTCTCCTCCTCCCCTAGACAAAATGGATCCGGCGCTACCGCCGCCACCTCTGCGGTACCCGCCGCCGCCGCCGCCGCCGCCGCCGTCGCATCTGTCGCCTCCGCCACTGCAGCAGCCCGCTTCTCCGCCTCCCTCTCCGCCCACGCCGCTCCGATGGCTTCATTCACCGCCTTCAGAGCCTCCGGGGTGGCGCGAGGGGCGCCCCCCTTGCCAACCACCAACCAACGCAGGTACAAACCCGTGCCGCCAACCACCAACGGAACGCCGCCGCGCTGCAACCAACCAACAAACGAACCAACGGTTGGCTACTCGCATACTGTAACCTGGCCACAGGTGTAAGCGTTGACCTGTTTGTGGGCCCTGGGCATCCACGAGAAAGATTGAGAGCGTGTATACGAGTGTTTTTTAATGTTTGTTAATCAACCCCCCAACATGCACACACATACAGACAGACAGACACACACACAAACACACTCTCTTCCCTCATCTACCCATCTATAACCCATTTCCAACCCATGTTGATAATCCCGACCCGAAGACGTTCCCCCTTCCCGAAACTCCGTTCCCTCCACCACCACCCCAAAACCCCCCTGCCTC